CAACATAGTTGCGTCTTTACACGCCAATATAATGGAGTCGTTGAATGTAAACACCGACACCTTCTTGAGGTGGCTCGTGCCTTACGATTTCAAACTATTCTCCCTCTCTAGTTTTGGGGCAATTGTGTTTTCACCGCAACTTTTTTAATCAATAGAATGCCAACACCCTTACCTCTCTGGCAAAAGCCCCCACGAAGTTTTACTTAATACCAAGCTTGATTATAATCAATTACATATCTTTGGATGCTTGTGCTATACTCATAATCCCACTATTAAACACAAATTCGACACCTCGGCTCATCCAAGCATTTCATTGGATATCCTTTTGATCAAAAGGGATATCTACTATTTGAATTAATACGAAAATTTGGGTTTGTTAGTTGGGATATCATATTTCATGATAATATTTTTCCGTATCACCACAGCCAACTCAATTCCTCTCTTAATTTTCCTGTGTTCTGTCTACCTGTGCTTGACATTAACAGCATCCCATCTGCTCCCCTATCTCCCTACCTCGCCCTCCAGTTGATACTAGGCCACTACCTCTTTCTTCAACATCACCACCTTCACCTCCACCAGCTACATTTACACATACACCACCTCCAGCATGATCTCCTCCACCTCCACAATCTCTTTGTAGATCCTCTCGAGCAACCCACTTACCCCCATATCTATAACAATATTATTGTTCCACAACTGTTACTCTAGCTACTATACAATAACATCCTTCCTCTTTACCAGGTATTGTTCACTCACTTCCTAGTTTTTTATCTTATGATTAATTCTTTGTTTCTCACCGCGCCTATGTTATAGCTTTATCTTCAACCATTGCACCCACATCCTTTAAACATGCTATACGATCACTACAATGGAGAGATGCAATGGCTACTGAGATACGAGTACTTGGAGAAAATAATACTTAAACTATAACCAAGCTACCCCCTAGCAAGAAACCCATTGGCTGGAAATGGGTTTATAAGATTAAGTACCACCCAAATGGCTCTATCAAACATTATAAGGCAAGAATTGCAGCTAAAGGCTATACTCAGACTGAAGGTCTGAATTATCATGAAACTTTCGTACTTGTGGCTAAGTTAGTCACAGTGCGATGCTTTTTAGCGATAACTACCATCCAGCACTAGTCTTTATACCAGATGGATGTGAATAATGCCTTCCTTCATGGGGGATTTGGAAGAAGAAGTTTATATGCAAATTCCCCTTGGATTTGCCAAACAGGGAGAGAACAGAGTCTGTAATTTGCAAAAGTCCTCATATAGACTCAAACAAGTATCAAGAAATGGTTCCTTAAGCTCTATGCCGATTTTCGTCAATACAAAGCTGACTACTCTTTGTTTAGCAAACAATATGGTGGCAAATGCATTCACGTTCCTGTATACGTTGATGATATACTTATTGCTGAAAATGATCCCACTGCAATCATTATTCTCAAAGGCTTTCTCCAGTCTCGATTTCATATCAAAGACTTCGTTCCATTCAAATATTCTCTTGGTATAGAAGTGGTTAAGTCCAGTACGCGCATTTTCCTTTGTCAGCATAAGTATAGATACTCCAACATATGGGCATGCTTAGAGCAAAGCATTCAAACTTTCCAATAGAGAAAAACCAAAGTTAAACTCTATTGATGGCGAGCTTCTTGATGATCCCCTTTCTTATAGGAGATTCATTGGCAGATTGATATATTTGACTATTACTCGCTCAGACATTGTTTTTAGTGTAATGTCCTTAGTCAGATTATGCAAAGCTTGCGAATACCGTATTTTGATGCAACCTTACAATTATTTCGGTATCTAAAGTCTACCCCGAGACATGGCATTCTATTATCCTCCTTCAGTAAACTAGAGGTGACCGGATATTGTGATTCTGATTTGGCAAACTGCCCAATAACTCGACGTTATACCAGTAGTTATTAGACTTTGCTTGGTAATAACTCAATTTCTTAGAAAACTAAGAAACAACATACAATTTCCTGGTCTTATGCTGAAGTAGAATACTGTTCTATGACACTTCTAAGCTGTGAGTTAACTTGACTAAAATAAATGTTGAACGATCTTGGTATTCCTCACTCATAGCGCATTACGATATTTTGTGATAACAAAGCTGCTTTACACATTGCTGCCAATCCAGTTTTCATGAAAGAACAAAGCATATAGAACTCGATTGTCACCTTGTTCGTAAAAAGATCACCTCTGGCCTACTTCGGACTCCATAACTTTACACTTTCAATTAATTGGCCGATATTTTTACAAAATTTTACTCGCAAGTTGGGCATCATATCCATTCATGCTCCAACTTGAGGGGGAGTATTAGAAGACTTATCTATATCTAAACACAAAGGTTTGACTTTACCATATGTAATGTTGTAATGTTTATCTTCTTATATTCTCTCCATAAATCCTACATATATTGGGATTGGGATGTTACTCTTGTAACTTTTATAAATTGTGTAAAGCAATAAAAAAACACAACTTATTCTTCTCTCTCTAATTCCTTTTATCACCTTTTGAGACATTTGTTGGAGAGTGGACTTAGACAAAAGTGTTTGATAAATTGCCACACTACACGTCATTAGTCATAATCTTATGATCTATGTGAGTTTTCTTCATTTAGCTTCACCAAAATATTTTATGAATTAAAAGTTCATCTCTCTCTCTCTCTCTCTCTCTCTCTCTCTCTCACACACACACACACACATTTTGGGCATAATTAAGTGGTGAATCAGTGACCATTAGCTTCCCATTGGTATGAGTGAGTAAGCCCTTGAGTTTGAGCCATTTGTGTTTTCATAAGTCCCTAAAAGATACGATTCGTCATCTAGGTACCAAGGGTTCGACCATTGGCTTTTCTTTCCATTTTTGGCGCTATAATTATTGTGGCTTTGAGTTCATAACATTCTTAAGTCGTTGAGCTTTGAGTTTATGTTGTTAATGATATGTATTTGATGAGAGCAATGTTGTATATGCACTCCATGTGAAAGTCCTTATATAAATGACATAGGATGACTTTTTATTTTCCAACTGTTTGAGATTTTGCATTGGGGAGTCCATTGAGTTATAATTTTGAGTTTTTCAAGTGATATAAGAATCAAAGTTATTGTACTTTGTGGGTATAACAGATGTGAAAGTGTATTTGCACCTGCATGTGCATATATTGGTTGTAAAAATTTTAATTACATTCTCAAGTTAAGTGTTGTATTAAGAATACTTTCCCATCAATTTCTTAAACCCTAATCGCCCCTAAATACTTAGGAAAATCTCTTGAAATAGCCTAATAAACACTTAGGAATGATAGTAACGTAAAAGACCCTAGTGCACCAACTCATATGATCCATACACATCATAGTTTCCACCTTTTAGAAACCCTAAGAAAATATCCTATAAATCTCAAAACCTTAAGGAATCATTTAGAAATTCAAATGGTAGAAAAACCTGAGATTGATGGTAGATTTATGAAGCTACAAAACATTTGAAAACTCATTCAGAATGAACCAAATGAAGAAAATCTAGCGAATCTCAAGGTTTAAGCCGAGAGGTGTACAGAAGACGAGAGGTTCGTCTAGGCCAAGAAAGCTTAGACAACATGAAGTTTGTCATTTACCCTTACGAGCCCTATCATAAATTATTTGAGCCAAAGAAACTGGAGACAAGGGAGGTTTGTCATCTCGCCCCAAAAACCCTAGACATTGTCATCCACCAACTTTTGACCAAGTTAGTTCAATTCGAAGAGATAAACATATTGGATAACCTTAGGAAACATGTTGGAATGTGTGGAAGAGTCTATAAAAAGACCTAAACTCAGCTTAACGAGATCTACAACCTTGAAACAGTGGCCTTGAGAAATCTAAAAAACCCTAAAGAGGGAATTTCAAAGAAAAACCCTAAATTAGAAAACCCTAGTTTAGAAGCTTAAGCCTTCAAAAAACATAAAAAACCTAGAAACCTAGGTGCATCAAAACCCTAACCCTAGATCTAGCGTCCCCTAACATGTGTAACATCCATAAATTGGATGTGGATGTTAGAAGATGGTAGTCCCTACCAAAATTTTAAAAGGATTGTCTACAAAGAGATCATTAATCTTTTGTACATAGAGGTCACAATCATTCGCACTCATTAGATGTCAAATTATAGGGCAAGGGGCGAGTCATGAAGTCCGAGATTTATTTGTTTTTGGATTTTTGTGTCAATTCAATGACACTTTTGCAACCACCCATTCTGAAATTAAAGGACAATAATGATTGTGACCTCCATTTACAAAAGATAAAGAAAAATGTTTCATGCGGGCTGAACCACATTTTTACATTTGTGATCCAGAAAGTGTAAAACATCCATCTTAAAGTTGGATGTAAGTAGGTGTTCCATCTAAAAACAATAGAAATTAACGATCCAAATGTTTTTTTACTAGAATTATTATTTTTAGTTTTTAAAATCTATTTATTTTTTCATATTTATGATCTCTTTATTAGAGATTACATGTCCTTGAAAATCAAGTTTTAAAAACCTAAAATCCATCTCAAAAATAGATTTCTTATGAGGCCCTCATTTCTATGTATGCATTCTTGGGCGCGTAAAACCGTGTCCAAAGATAAATGGTCTCTTTATTGATAATCTCAATTTTAAAATGGACAGTGTTATAATAATAACAATAATTTAGAAAACTCAATGATTTCAATTTACTACTTATCATGGTGAGATATTAATTCTCTAAATTTTTTTATCCAAAATCCATCTCTAAATTAAATTTGAAGAGAAGACCTGTTTAAATAGGTGAATCTGCAGATTCATACAAATCGTGTCCTTTATTTTCGACCTCGACATATTTTGTAATGAAGCGTATAGATATTCATATACCCCACCAAGGCTGACATGGCTCATTTGTTCACCAATACAAAACAATACATTAAGCTACGTGGCCATCCACGGTTGGATGTTTTCCACCCCAACTTATCTCTGGGGGATAAGAAAGTTTCACCAGTCGTTGCTTCTCAAGCACACAAAAACATTGGCCAGTCTCAAGCCACTCACTCCTCAAAAATAAAATCCCCCCCATTACCCCTTGCTTACACAGAATCAAACACACTTTGATCACCCATACAACCATGGCTCATGCAATGGCATCAATGGCTGGTTTGGGTGGCTCATCTCAAGCAGTGTTAGAGGGTAGCCTCCAGCTCAGTAGTGGCTCCAATCGCTTGACCAGTGGCTCAAACCATGGTGCTACTACTCCTGCTAGGTTGGTTGTTAGTCGACAGGGAATTAGAGCAGCGCAACAGCAGCTTTCAATTGAAACTGAAGAAGCTGTGGGCCGCCGAGCAATGCTCAGCTTCTTGGCGGCTGGTGTTGCCTCCGCGTCCTTCGTCAAGTCGGCCTTGGCTGCGGTCAAGCCCATCAAAGTAGGCCCTGCGCCGCCCCCTTCTGGTGGATTACGTGAGTGTTTTTCTTTTGTATCTGCTTTCTCTTGTTTAATCTTTGAGCTAGTTGGTCACCAGTCTTAGGCCTTACAGTGCATTAAAAAGTGACCTTGATCAAACATTTCCTGGTTTTTATCCCACTGTAATCAACCCAAATGAGAGAAAGTAAATAAAAATTCGTCGATCAAATGTCGGGAGTTCATAATTTATATTCAATTCACTTGCAAGAACTTTGTACCTTGGGTAACATTTAGGTTTTCAATGCTTATGCTTGGTTTAGTTGGTTAGCAAGTTTTATTAGGCAATTCATGATGGAAGGTCATCACTCTTTAACTTTCATTGCTCTGACAATTGGTCCTCATAATCGATTTTTAATTTCAAGTATCTTTCCATCATCATTTTTGAGAAAGAATGGGTATAGATAAATGGAAAGGGTCGTATGCCTTCCATTATTTAAATCGTTGGCAAGAGACACACCAGCTCCTTATGCTGCTTCAACACAATGAAAAACTTCGAACTGTACGTCTGATCTAAGAATTTGGGAGGCAATAGCTTATGAATTGGGCCAAATTGGTTTCAACAAGACCAACTAATATGAAATACATAGATAAATAAACAGTTTAAATGTATATGTGTTGGTTGTATACCATGGAGACGTCCTCTGTCTGTTATTGAGAAGAGAGTCGAGATTCACTGCACTCCACCAGAGTGAATAACCTTGTAAGTATTATTCACAGAGAATGTCCATCATCAAGCATAAGAAAACTTTAGATACCAGAAGACAAAATAACTAGATGAATATACTCTACCTTTACAGCCGGAACCTTGAATTCGGATGAGCCTAGGGACTTGGAGCAGCCCCTAAAGACTCGATTCTACATTCAACCCCTAGCCCCAGCTGAGGCAGCAGCTCGCGCAAAAGACTCAGCCAAGGACATAATAGGTGTGAAGCAGTTAATCGACAAGAAGGCATGGACTTATGTCCAAATGGACCTTCGCCTCAAGGCTGGGTACCTTCGATACGATCTCAACACTGTCATCGCAGCCAAGCCGAAGGATGAGAAGAAGCCACTTAAGGAGCTGACTGGCAAGCTCTTCAGCCAAATCGACAAAGTAAGTGACTCAGGCATCATCCATGATATGATAGATGATTTAGGGGTTATTGTGAGGTTTAGGGGGTGCACAGCTTGTATCTTGAGCCTAGCACGTAAATTTTCTTTATAGATGTTAGTGCTTGCCGAAAGACATGGGTAATGCGATTCTTCTGTTAAAATAATGCACCTTACATTATCTACACCATATGATGGTGTAAAGAAAAGTGGCATTCTTCTATTGTATTATTCCCATTTACAAATATGAGGTGCATGATCTTTGCTGTGAGACTTTCCTTATAACATGGTTTTAACATTATCAGAATTGCTACAGGCATGAACTTTTATTTTATCTGGGAAAATTTACTTTTCCTTTTTCCTTCTCTCAAACATAAGGTTGACACGTTGGAGAAACTTAGGACTAATTTGATTCCATGCCTGTTATCGTAGGACCATGCCATACATTAACTAACAGTTTCTGGTTGGACCTTTTGTTGCAGCTTGACCATGCTGCAAAAATCAAGAGCACCCCAGAGGCAGAGAAATACTATGCAGAGACTGTCTCCGCCCTCAATGATGTCCTCTCTAAGCTTGGATGAAGTGTATATCTCCCTTTCCTTTCAAATTTCCTTTTATGGTTTTATCTTTCATGTCCATCAGTTCCTCTCATGTCAATTAGGCGTTCTTGGAAGTAAACTGGTTTTGGCTGTAATTTGAAATGGCTTTCTAAGTTGCCTGAAATTTGAGGTCAAATAGCATATTGGTATCAAATTAATTGTAACAGGGAATTGTTTGAGGTTGTCTGCAGGTACATGTGTGTGTTTTTCCTGTGTGTGTGCGTGAGAGAGAGAGAGAGAGAGAGAGAGAGAGAGAGAGAGAGAGAGATGCTAGGGGAGCTTCCCATAAGGCAGTGAAATCACAGAAGAAAAATAATGCAAGAACAGGCTATAAAAAGGGTGTTCGTCTTTCTAAATGTGCCCTAAAAGGATTTGACCATATTCAATGGTCCTTGGAACAAGTTTGAATCGTGTAAGTGTCATAGACAAATTTGTAATATTCATGTGTTGAAATACTAATCCCATTTTGAATAAATAAAATAAAAATTTAAAATTTTAAAAATAAAAATTTTAAAAATTTAAAAATAAAAAAATAAAAAACTAAAAAATTAAATGTGTGTGTGTGTGTGCTTTTTTTCTGATCTGGCTCTGAGGGCAACTTCAATCAGCTTTGCCAATTCGGCTGTAAGTGTAATTTCAATGGAGGGCATGAAACTTAGTAACATGCAGTCACTGCTTAATGAGACATTTGTTTATCTGCTGCTTCTTTAGTTCATTGCCTAGGACAGATATATCCATCTATAGAATTTTCTGAAGGAAGATTTACTAAGGCATTGGGGTGGCTCAGTGCATCAAAAGCATGAGCATGACATCGTACCAAATGAAAGAAAAAAGAGAAATATAAGCGCATGTTTAACATTCCTATGATTCTCAAGATACTGATGAGTTGCATATTTCTAAAAGGTGAAACTTATGACCAACATCTCTGAAAATTTCAACTATATAAACCTCATGGCAAATTAATCAAACTATTCTTCATATTCCCAAAATTTTATCCATTGAAATGCAAAGTGGAAAAAATTATCACAAGGCGCGACAGAAAAAATTGTACGATATCTATATCTACCTAGATAAGAGTTACAATTTCAGCAGTTTCGGCACATAAAATAGTCAAATATCAAATTCTTGAACCTCCCTCATCAGGTGTCTGCAGAACCAACTTGTGCCAATCTTATGTGTACTACGCCTGTCACAGACCCAAAAATGTTACAAGACATTGGAAAATCATAAATGATTAAAAAAATCAAGAAATGCACATAATCAATAAGGAAAAAAGCAGAGGCCAACTTCATTTCCTCGTTTAAAGCACTAAAGGAAACACTGAATCATGAGCTAAAGGAAATATCGAATCACATGCTAAAGGAAACATCGAATCACAAGCTACTAAATAGCATTAGCTTGCTTCTCCAGATCACACAGAACCACCGCAGGTTTATCAACAATTCTAGAACTATAATAGGAATACATATTCTAAATTTTCTTTGGCTTGTCAGCACCTTGGAACACAAGATCTCCAATACCTGCACATGACAACAGTGTGAGCGTCATTAATTGTCTTATCTCTCAGGAGGCACACCACAGGGACAGCAGCATTTTCTACAAAAAGAAAGATGCAGTAAAGGGAAATGATAGAATCGGCTTTTGCTTCTTAGCATTTCACATGCATACACTCACCATGGATCCTGTTGGTTTTAAAAAAAATACCCATATACTGATATTTCTAACTTAAAATCAAGAAACCAATACATATTGTGGAGTTAATTTTAGAATTCAGACATGTGCTTGTTTTTTCAATGAGCGTAAAAGAGGACAACCAAACCTGAAAGGACACTTAGTTGCACTAAAGTTAAACGTTTAGTTTGCCAACTCTTGAGAAATGAAATCTGGATCATGATAGATGTTTCAAGTTTTAACCATTTTTCAAACCAGCTTATATATTACAGAGCACCTACATAAGTTTCATTTATCTACTAATGGCTAGCAAAAATGAGTCGACCTTTAGTTAATAACTTCTTGATTCTATTACCACACACATCGAGAGATATTGAGAGAGAGAGAGAGACACCAGCAGCAAAGATCCATCATATTATCTATTTTCTTTTTCTTAAACACAATGTGATCTCCTGTATCCATCGCTAATTTCTAATTCAAACAACAAGCCAACCCCAAATAATACTGAAAGAACACAAACAAGAAAAATATCAATTTTCAAAATTAACAGGTTCTTTGAAGGTAAAAAACGAAAAAGAAAAAAAAAGAACAAAGAAAAAAAAGGAAAAGGTTCTTCAGCGGTATATGAAGAGTAAATAAGCGAAGATTACCATGATCATATGATGATGGTAACAGTGTGGTCATAGGAACCATCAATGTCTCATCAACGGGAAGTACGGACGGCGATGGAGGGCATAGGGACCATCAATGGACAGTAGGGTGATGGGAGGGAAAGTGGGTCCTGATAAACATGTAATTTATTCAATTACGAACCATTCAATTTATTGATGGGGCAGTCTCAGCATTTGTGACCATATTGTTTTACCACTTTACCATGACCATATCAACCATAGCATACTTTCCAAGCAATAAATATACCATAAAGAGTCATAAAAGGCAAGAAACACATCAAAAATTGATACTGAGACTAAAAGGGAAATCAGCAGTTGATTCAATCCACAGGTAGGAAGAAGTCAAATGCAGTTAACTGATAAGAAAATGCAAATTATGTCCAAAAATATGATGACAATAAATTCTGGTATTAATCTCAATATGATGGGATTAGAGGCTCTCTTCAGGAATTTTCTTTCCTTTATAATAAACAAAGCAATATATGTGATGAGAAATAACAAATAATCAGGGTCCTGAAAAATTCCAAACATATGGCCCAAAAAGACCACATACAAGGTGTCCCATGTATCACACTGTAATCATTCTCTGGAATTAAAATATGCTGAGGGAGGTAGGCACTTATGTGTATTATTTTGTATGGACATAGGGCCCTGGGCCTGATGGGTTTTCGTTGATTTTCTTTTAGGAAGTTATAAAACATGATTAATTGGCTATGCTGGATGAATTTTACTATAGTATAAATAAGGCGATAAATACAACCTATATTGCTCTGATACCCAAAAAAAGGTCTGATTGGTGGTCTAAAAGATATTAGGCCCAAGGTTTAAAAAACCATGATTCGAATTGGTCACACCCATACTTGTGTCGGATCGGTGAATCGATGGATCGGATCGAAGAATCGGCGGAATCGACAATTTTTGTCTCAAAAAATATTTAAAAAATCACTATAAATGTTTTAAAATATTGTTCTTTTAGTTTCTAAAAGAATTTAGGAGTGTTGCATTATGTACTTTCATTACTTTGTAAAAATAAGTTAATACTGAGACGTTGTTTTTCTGTCTGGATGTTTGTATATTTATTAATTGTAATATAGCATTATAATATTACATCAAAATAATTTAAAAATATTAGAAAACACTTCTTTATTATAAGATTAAAAAATTAATTTTCCATATAAAGTGAAATTAGTATCACATCAAAGTATTAAACATTTATTAATTTATTTTACTCATCCAAAATTATCACAACCTAACTAACTATAATATTATATATTGAATTTGAAATTATTAGTTTATAAATTTATATTTTATAATTATGTTATTATACAAATAAAAAAAATCTAAAATATCGTATAATTTTAATTTTAAAAATCTTATTTACAACTATAAGAAAAAATAATACATTACATAATTTATAATATAGATAAATTAATAAATAAAATACAAGATTTGGTTATTAATGTCTAATTATTAATTATAATATAATAAAAATCATGATTTAAAAATGATTAGAAAATGCTTCCATAACATATAATTAAAAAAAATCCCCTATGAATTTTAATGTGATCATGTTCATATGATTATTCTGATATAAGTTTAACAAGTTGTTAAGATAAATAAACAATAATAATTTCAATATAATTATACTTATTTTCATAAATTAATTATATTGAATTTATTTATGTAATTATATGCAATTAAAACTGAACTATATGTAACTTTATTTTTTTAGAAAAATTTCGTACAAACCCCCTAATTCCCCATCTTATTTCACGGTAGACCCTCATTTTATTTTTTTTTTCAAGCGGCATAAAAAAACCCTCAAGAATTTCACTGTACCCCCTTATCTCTTATCTCCCACTTTTATTCACTTTTAGCTACAAAAACTAGTCCCAACAAATTGTTTTATTCCATCTCATTTATTTCTAACACTTTTATTTCCAATAGGGTTAAAAAAGCTTTTGAATTGAAATGAAATAAAATAATTTGTTGGGGCTAGTTTCTATGGCCACAAGTGAATTAACGTGGGAGAGAAGAGATGAGGGGGTACGGTAAAATACTTGAGGGATTTTTTATGCTGCTTGAAATAAAAATAGAAGGAGGATCTACCGTGAAATAAGATGGAGAATTAGGGGTCTATATGATATTTTCCTTATTTTTTTGTAGATTATAAAAAATAAAAAAATATAAATATTCTAAAAAAAATATTGTGTAGATTCTTTTATGTATACGCATATAAGTAAGAGAGAGATAGAAGCAATAAAGCATAGACAAATTTGCCTTAAATGATGTATCGAAAGCAGTGTTCGCAAAATCGAACCGGAATGGTTAACCGAACATAAGGCTAGGAGTGGTTTGAATCGGAATTGGACTAACCGGGCTGGTTAACCGGACTAACCGGTCAAGTAGATTATATTTTAAAAAAATGGGTTAAAAGCTCCCAAAAAAATTTTAAAAAAAAGAAATACTTAGATTAAGTGTATAATATCTTATTACATATATTATCTTACAAAAAAACATTGAAACAACTTTTTATATATTAATATTTGAATTATACGATCTTATACATAAAAATATTTTAGGATACTTTTTGAAGATATTTTTATCATGTAACATATTCTTCCAAGAATTAACATATTTATCCCAAACCTTACATGAAAAACTTTCTGGTTTTTTTTTTTTTACAAAAATCGCTCACATTAGGAATGAAAATTTAGGCATTTTTTTGCAAATAACAAAGCTTGATGCTATTAAATCAAATAAAAATGCCAACTAATTATGACAAGAAGTAGAATGGACCTCTTCCATATAGTTAGATAAAGCATAATTCGTACAATACTTTTTAGAT